GTGTTTAACAATGTTCATTTTTCTTCTTTAATTTCAAATAATTCTATAATGCCATTTTATTGTAAACCATTCACTCAAAAGCTATTATGAAAGTAACTAATCAAATTACTAAAAATTACTTAGATGGAAATCATTTGCTGAAAACTTGGTCCCCCCCAGTTCAAAAATCCTATCTGCGCCCCTGGGGAGGAGCCTGTACACATGTCCCAACCCTGCTGTTGTCAGTGGAAGCTTCTGTTCGGCTCAGAGACTCCCAGACTGTGACTCAGGAAAAAGCATACTGGYTTCTGCCTGGTGGGTTAAAAGGCATCGATTACAAGCAGTGCAAAGACGTTGACTTTTCATCAGCGAAAATGTTTTAAAAAAAAAAGTGGATTGTGGCTTTCAAAATAATGCCCATAAAAAACTAACAGTGTCCCTTTCTCAAAAACACATCCCTGAACCCTCCAGCTCAGAGTTCAACTCGTTTCTAACAGCACTCCAAGAGACCGGATCAAAGTGTGCCAKTTTTGCTTTAGCGCCACAATTTGCTGATGAATACAAATCAAAAATGCCAGTGTTAATTTTAACACCAACAATTTGTCTATTTGTGTCCACACTTGCCGGTGTTAAAATAACACTTATATTAACTAGTGTTAGTGTTAAAATTAACACCAGCCAGTGTTTAATATTCAACAATACCAGGTGTTATATATTAACATTACAGCAGTGTTACTGTTAAAATATAGTGTTAAAAATAACACCAGTGTATTGTTAATAACAAAACACATTGTGGTATTAGAAAGCTAAAAGACACCACGACGTGTCAATACCTACACTCAAATATATAAATGTTCAAAACAACACAAAAATGGAAGGTTTACCTTTTATTAGAACCTTAACAATAAAAGACCTCAAACAAATGCACAGCTCATATAAAAACAGCAGCGTGGCACAATAAATATATTTTAATCATTTTCAGCTGAAAACTGCCTGTCATAAGGCTGATAATATATCAGTTCTGAGACACAAACAATAGCAAACACATCATCCACAATGTCTATTGTAGGGTTTTTTTGGGTATATTCTAAAATAGCTAATTTGTGACTCACAAATTAGCTCACCTCGAGGCACCACATTCCTTAATTCGATCARGTGTTGACCCAGGAAATAAATGAAAAACTGTAACTTTACTGTAATCAGTCTCTGAATACATTTACCCAAAATGGTTTGATGAGTTCTTGTCTTATCAGAACCAGGACTGCTTTATCAAGACACAAAAATGAGATTAGCTCATGTTGGCACGTTCTCCACGAGCCATTTATTTACAGATTAAATGTATTTACAACTATGACATGTAATGAATGAATAATGATATGYTTGAACCAGGTAAACTGAGAGAGTTTGTTATCACGAGTAAATGAACAAACAGACAGACAAATAAACAAACAAAACAAATGAACAAAAAATAAGCACTGAGAAGTGAGTTTGAGGCGTGGAGGGAGGTGAGGTAAGCTGCTTTAGCTGTGGTTTTAACTAGGGACTCCTAAGTTAAATTGGATCAAGAAAATAGTTTCGTTTACCAAATCTCCTACAAAGATGAAAATCAAATTTATGTCTGAGCACCTGTGTGTCACCAGGACAAATGTTCACCTTTACCCTTGTTGTTCTGCTGATGGCGGTACCAGGAGTAGTCGTCGGCTAACTGAAGAATCTTTTAAATTGGTAAATATAATGAATTTTAGTAACAAAATCTTGACGTAAATTACACTGAGCATTTTCCAAACAAAATACTACAACTCCTACAAAAATAAATACACAACACATGACACTACACTTTCATCATTTACAGCCTGAGACCTGGTCCAGTCCACACGGGGACACAGAGTCACAAAACCCTGCTGACGTCTCACTGAAAGACATAGTAAGTCTCTGTCCATCTCAATCTGTTGTCAATATATTCATCATGTCCTGCACAACACTTTCATCACCTACAGCCTGAGATAGTCCTTCAATTCTATCAATTACTTTAGTTGGTATTTTTAATAAACATGGCAACATAACTTTGGTAAAATGAGCCAAATTCAAGTCACAATAAATTAAGTCTCATTTATTGTGTTATAAAGCTAAATGCAACCATCTTTACACAGCCTTGCAGTGTTAATTTTACTTCTTTTGATTGGCTTAAAATCTTTATATTTAAATAAAACTCACAATTTTAACGTTTTTTTTTTTTAAATTATGTGATAATAAGGACGGGATTCATTTCTTTCACCCTGTCCCTTAATGGAGTCTGGAGGGTTGATGGTGCCTATCTCCAGCTAATGTTCTGTGCAAGAGGCGGGGTGACCCTTGACAGGTCGCCTGTCTGTCGGAGGGCAACACAGAGACAAGCAGGACACACAACCATGCACACACACACACACACACACACACCTAGGTGACAAAAAACAGAGGACAATTAACCTGTAATGTTTTTGGACTGTGGGAGGAAACCGGAGGACATGGAGAAAACCCACCCCTGCACAGGGAGAACATGCAAACTCCATGCAGAAAGACCGGGAATCAAACCCATAAACTTATTCCTGACATTTAACTTTTGTAAACAAAACTTTTTAAAAAGATTATCTCCAGTACTTGTCAAGGTAAATTGTTATGTATGTCAGTGTCAGACACAGACATGGTCACATCAAGGTCCATTTAGCTTGATTGAAGTGTTTCTATTTATTAGGAAACATTACTATATTTTTCTTTGTATTACAAACAAATTACTAGAAAGCATAACTTTTCATAAAGCTGATAACTGTAAGCATATGAAATTAAAGAAATTACATTGAGGAAAGATTATTTAACAGTTATACAATTTTAAGAGATTGTAATGATCTTAATTTTTTCTGCTCTTAGGCAATATCTGATGAATCGTTTGAAACCAATTTTGTAAAGATGACCATACCAACCTCATCAATTTTTTTTGTGGAAGCAAATGACTGGACAAAACTACAGAAGAAAAGACAAAGAAAAACATTCAAAGGACTGAACTGGACTAATGTAATTAGCAAAGGAATTAGATCCATTTATCCGTATTGCTCGTTTGCATTTAAAAGGCATCARCTGAAGGTGTTGGGCTCTACCAAACCTGGCCCACAGTTTCGATGTACAGGATACTGCAGATTTGACGACTGCCCTGTGAAAGTGAATGTGGAAATAGGTAATGACTTGAAGGCAACAGTTAACTTTGAAGCGGACCAGAGCGTGCACCGTGCAACACAGCTTGGTACGGAGACCAGTAAGTGCAGACTCTAGAGAAGACATGGCCCAAAACCTGGAAAACACACTACCAAGAACGATGCATCTGAACATGATGAACAAAATAGACAACAAAACAATGATTATGGATTCCAGAGATGAGGCTCCCACTAAAGATGTTTTAAAAAATATTTATTTTGAGGCTAGAAAAAAAAACAGACTTCACAAGAATGAAAYGATAAGTCTGCAGAAAATGTTTAATCTGAAAAAAGGATCCGAAGACAACGTTCTACAGAAGATAATCATGCACCCCAAAGGGGTACTGCTGTGGTCAGCAAGGAGTATAAAAGTTTTCCAGGAGCGCAGCTGTGAGGATATCGTATATCTTGACGCTACAGGAATGCTTCCCCTCTGCCTGTAGCTACTTGTGTGACTTGCGACCACACCACGGCGTCAGTGACATATTTCCTGGAAGCATTTTGCACTGATGTTTACCATCACTGCGGCAGAAAAGGGTTACGGCCACCTCTGATGTTTATGTGTGACGGTTCAATTGTCGTGATGCCCGACATTCGCAAGGAAAACCTTACACGACACAATAAATCTTTACTTCAGCATTGCAACAGGAAAAGCCACCAAAGAGGACTTCAAAGTTCCAATGCTGCATCGTTGCCTGAGCCATGTAATGAAAAATGCTAAGGAAATGTGCAGAAAATAGTAAGTTTTTATTACTTTTCAAAAATGGCATGGATGTAATTGTATATATTACGTAGGGATAGTCTATATGCCATTAACATTCAAATAAGTATATGAAGTTTTATGTATATAACAAACGATTGTCTCTCAGCAGAAGRACTGATTTATGTTCAATTAAGAATTGAGATTGACCTGTCCCTGAAAAAAAGAAAAGTTACAATTTTTCTAAACATTTTTAATACTCTGATCTTTCTCAACCTGCAGTGCATCTCAACATTACCATCTTGCAACGCACATTTGTGGTCTATTCACAACGGCTCAGTCCCTGAATGAGCTTGATGACATGGTTCAGAGTGCTGCAGTGTTGTTTTCCAGTCCATCAAGGGGGGAAAATGTTCACATTCATTTTGAGAAACTGCAGTCAAAGTTGTTGACAATTGGTCATGTCCCTTATGAGACAAATAAGAAAACAATTGAAGCAGAGGACACAAAGGTAAAAGAACATTTGTTATTGAAGTACAAATTTGAAATGAATAGTAGAAATGTTGCATAATTTATCAGATGCATACATGATATGAAGAGAAGTTTTGGAGTCAATTGTTAGCTTTGTGCTTCAGTTTTATTTTTTTTATACAGACCCAAGTATTTATCAGGCTATGAATTTTGTTTATTGCATAGTACATTGAGATGCATTTTGAGCAACATTCAGAACTCATCAGAAGAAGTGAGGATCATGAATATGCGTGAAGTAGAATCGTTTTATATGATGCTTATGGATGTTAAATATACAGAAGATATTAAGAGGTCATCATTCAGTGTTTGTACTTCACTAAGACRTCATAGCAGACATAAACTTTCTTTGATATTTAACATTATAGTACATGTGCTTCTGCAATCACATTAGGAAGTCAAAGGAATGAATGAATTTGCCAAGCATTATAACAACGTGGTTGACAAAGCCCCACTGGATAAAGAGGGTGAACCAAATGCCTACTTCCTCCCAGGCTTCATTAAACAAGTCGTAAAAAATCTACTGCCTTATGCTGGACTCTGGACGGGGATAATGCTTGGTTTGTGATTCCAAGCAATTCCAAAATCACAATGCTAAAAGTTTTTGATAATAATTTTTATAAATATTACTTACACACTGCTTAATTTAAGGTGACCTTGGGCGACATGGAAATGGTGAGCCATATGCGGAGTACTCGAAAAAATATAGTTTCCTTAAAAGCCTTAATAGACAGGTATTACAATATTTGAAATTATTACTACATTTAGGACTGCTTTAAATATAAAGTGTTACTAATATTTACATTTTTATTGCAATATACTTTCAGAACATCACAGTGAACAATAGAACACAAGGCATTATGGAGAAAAGCCAGTGGGACCTTRAACATTTACGTTTCACATCCGGAAGAATGAACAGATTGGATGACTTTGTTGTAAAATATCAGAAGACACACAGCTCTCCTGAAAGAGTACCAAGACTCCAAAAAACTATTCCAAGAGAAGGTAATATAAAAAAACATGGATCATATAGATGTTTTGTTATGCTTATTATGCATTGCCAAAAATACTATACCTGTATTTAAGTAAAAGTTTATCGGATATTTAGATATTTCCATTACAAAGATAGCATTACCAAATTTAGTTTTAAATAAAAATTTAGAAATCTAAAAACCAAAGTGCATTTGAACATGTATCTGCAGTTGTTTCGAGTAAGAAAAGAGCAGTGGAAGGACCGGAAGCCAAGGAAGAAGGGAAGATATGTTTCTGCTATTCGAAAGTCTTTCCCCTTTCAAAAGGTTATGGAAAAGGTAATATTGCTCTAAACCAGAAACAAGTTAATTAAGTATGATATGTGACTCCTCAAAGACACAACGTCAAATGTATAAAATATGTTTATTTGCATTATTAAATGAATGTTGAGTTAGTTTAAATTATAACAACTATATAAACGTTTTGATCCACACAGGACCACATTAAAAAATAATTCTGCATTGTTTTATGTTTACTATTCCAATATTTATGGGTTTATAATTACAAAACTTATTGTTTTTGTTCTCTTACTCATAAGTGTTACATAGTCTATTTGATGAAAATTGTAATTTTGCTTAACCCTAAAATAAACATCACAATTTCTATGTTAAATTAGAAAGGAAGCGTGAAGGTACGGCACGGTGAAAACGTGTCGGTAATGACCAACAAAGGACAGGAACACGATAATCGTGCATTAGGAAACCAAAGTTCAGTGCAGGTAGGCATATTTAAAATGGTTTACTTTTTAAATTTATTTTTATAGGTAACAATTACAAAAGACAGAGTGGGCGTCMAAACCCATGTGCAAATGGGGTAATTGATGCCTCAACTAAACACAATGTAACAAATTGAGATTTGCTGTCAAAGATGAAAGCCATAAATTAACTAATTGAAGTCTGATTTTTATGGTGGATGCATGGTAACTTTGTGGTATCTTTTGTTAACGTTTGATTTTTATGGTGGATACATGGTAACTTTGTGGTATCTTTTGTTAACATTTGCCCATATTACATTCCCAGAAACAGCTGGAGTCTTTGTGGAAGAAAAAAGATACAGAGGTGG